TGTTATTTCACTAGAACGAGTACACGCTACATTTCGTCCTTTCAAGCATCGTTTCATCAAGAAATGGGCTTATGGAGTGATTATAACAATCGTTTGGTTGGTTCCTAGCGTCATGAATACATTCATAATAACTCACTCTTACGATTTTTTTAGACTGATTTCTTTCGCATATTTTTTTACTCTTCTTTTTGTTGTCGTTGTATGTTATATTTCTATCTATCTCAAAGTCCGGTGTAGTCGTCATCTTCAACACCATGGCGTAGCCGGCCTGAGGGCAAGAAAACTAACGAATACTTCATTTATTATCACCCTTGGGTCGTTAATAACGTTCTTACCGATGGTGGTATTCTGGGGCGTTCTGGCTTCTGATTCCAAGCTTTTCGATAACCTCTCCAATCAGTCATCATTTCACTTTAAAATGGTAAAAATAATATTTGTGGCTGCCAACTCACTAATAAATCCAATAATCTACGCTATACGGATGCCTGAACTTACAGCAGGCATAATGCAAATAATTTTCTGCAGGGCTTTAAACCCTGTTTATCCAATCGATATCCCAATTCAAAATATTTAAACATCTATTTAATTTAGACCTCGGTGTCATTTTATAGGAACAAGTACACGGTACATTTTGTCCTTTCAAGCATCGATTCATTAAGAAATAGGTTTATGGAGTGATGATAACAGTCATTTGGTTGGCGCCTGTCATCATAAACTCGATATTATCAGGAATGTACCCTTTACCTTTTTTCGTCAGATATTATGAACTTATCGTTTTTGCATTTTATTTTATCATACTTTTTGTCGTCGTTGTATGTTATACTTCTGTCTGTCTCAGAGTCCGTTGGAAAGAAAACTGACTGGTACTTTATCTCTTGTCGCTTCAGGATCTTTGATTATGTTCCTGCCAGAGATCGTTTTCTGCGGTTCTTGGGTTTCCAGTCCCGAGCTTGTTTCCATCTTTCCAATCAGTCTTTATTTACATTTTGATGGTAACGATAACATTTATAGTGGCCAACTCGTTGAGAAATCCTATGATTAATGCTATACGGATGCCTGAAGAAAGAACAGGCGTATTAGTAGTCATTTTCCGAAAGGCTCGGAACCCTATAAAATCCAATCAATATCCCACTTGAAAATCTTTAAACATTTATTTAAAGAAAGAAAGGAAAGTCGAGAAGATTTTTAATCAATTTGATTTTTCCTTCAATACCGTCCGACTTACATTAATTACATCGTAATATAAAAAACCTCGATTCAGTAAAAGGTATTTCAGTAGTAACAATTAATTTGAAAAGATTGAGAGGGACCCTACTTGTTTGTGTTAGTGTTGTGTAAAAATGAGAACGAAGAATGCTAATGAACTTGAGCCAAAATTTAGTGTTAAATCACAAAACGTTTCCTGAAATCATATTGAAAAGAAGCAAACAATGTCAGACAGGGTGAAACATTTTGACATAATTATACAGAATTATATAATTGTATATGTTATAAGATGTCTAAGATGATGCTTGACAGCTGCATAATAATAACATAAGTGTTTGAAAGAAGACACATAAAAGAGATCTTTGCATGGTTAAAATAACATTGACTTATTAGATAGGATCTTTTGGATGTGTGATAACCTTAAGGAATTTTTGGAAAGTGATAAACATCATTGTAATTTTACATTATTCTAGAAGTGAAGGGGCATGGGCCCACTTCACTAAAACACGTTTATTCAGCATTCAATTAAACTACTCTCTAATACGCACGTGAAGAAGAAGTAAACACCTAAGTAACAGAAAAACGACTTTTACAAAAAAAAAGTACTGATAGATAAGACGGGAAAAATAAATGCGAAGATACTTACCAAAAAACTAACCAAATGCCAAGGGAACATAAAAGACATAAAAAAGGTTTATATCGACGCAAAATAAGACACACTGCTAACAGGGGCATGAAACATGATATATAAAGGGCGGCGTAATTTACATAAAGTACGAAAATAATGGTGGAGAAATAATACGTGGAAAAACGAAAAGAATTAGTGTAAATGAATGGGTGCGGAGATATAAGACCTACTTGAGAGAAAAAAGAAAAGATACACATTTGCCATAACAAGAAGGAGGTATAATTTGATATGCCTGTAATGTAAAATCGATAACTTATTAAAACCTCAATTTGTAGAAATGTTGTTTGATGTGGTTTTATTTTCTCTGACCGCATCTGCATCCTTTTTGGAACCAGAGGATGGGGAAGATATTGCTAACTAACACTGTTAACAAAGATAATAGAAACAGCCTGCGTTACAGGCGTTATCCGCTTTGGAGTTTGAGGCGGGTACAGAAAAGTGTGAGGAAAACACGAGATGTGAGAAGTTCAAGAAAAGGAACTCTTCCCCAGCCCGTGTCTCGCCCGGAGTGATGGCCGATTAAACGACGGATAACTCCTTTACTTCTGATGCAAGCACGCCATGTTAAAAGACCAACTGACGATCCTTCCTAGGGAATCTTACATCACATAGAATATTTCCTTTTAAGGTATCACAGAAGGAAAATTAGCGTTTTCATTCAAACAGAGATAGCGTGAAAGTTATGCCCGCTATCCCAGTAATGGTATAGATTTTCTTAAAGCTTATAATATAATTTAATTTTGCAATTTTCAATATTAAACAGAATGGGAGCTTATTTTTTCATGCCGAGACGTTTCAGATAACTTCATTTGACGACGCATTTTAATCAACACGTTTCTTTTTAACGTGATCTGCACATAACGAAATAAAAGAGGGTGTCTGGGATTTGTATTTTGAAGTTGGGTCGAGAAGGTTGTGTAACACGCGTGAATATGTAACCATTTGTTTCAAAGCAAAAAGAGGAGGAAAAAACGTCAGGCACAGGAAGGAAAGCTTCACTCGAAACACAACACAGCTTGTCAACGATCGGTGCTCGAAGTGTAATGCTACGCGAATGATGATGGACTCACGACGATATTTTTCGCGAACTACTGCCTTCGGTAACTTCGATAGAAATAGATTCTGGCCACTATATCTCTGAAGTCTATTAGGAGCCCCTATCTATATCAGTGAACAATACTTCCGCTCCGATGCAAACTGTAAAGAAATTTTCCTTTCAACGCAACGGCAAAAGAGACTTGTCGCGTTTGAACACGATAACAGCTTGAAAACATCAATTTAATTAGAACAATAATCTCTCTAGCTTTCGGAAAGAACTAACAAATGAGCGATTTCGGAACTTTTGAAAAAACTGTACATTGTGCTTTGAAAATCAACAGTTGTTTGAAATCGTCAATTCGGGGACGAGAAGAAGCTGATATGAAGTATCATCAATCTTGCGCCTTCCGTTCTACTCTCAAATTACTTTTTGCTTTATAACTCTTGAAGTAAAAAAAGATACCAAAATAAAATTTCAGAAGTTGATAGACCTTTATTTCTTTTATAGGATATTAGATTTTTAGGAAATTGAAAAAAAAAACCTCTCGCACCTCTATCGCGCTCTTCTCACTTATACCTCCGCCATTAAAACGAAGAAATTAAGCCACCTGTTAAGCAAACCGATCTACGAACTCACTGTCGGAGGTAAAATGTTATTGAAAGGACGCTGATCTTCATCTTAAGACCTTCCTGCTCGCGGTGTTCGGGAGCCAATGAAAGAAAAAAAAAAGATTTTTCTTTTGAACAAATTTTGATTCAACGGTGAAAGGTTTTACACCATGTCAGGACATGGTACAAGATTGAAAAGATTATGGGTATTTACTCTCTGCAAGTATTGCATGAAATTTTCTCTTTTCGGAAAATTTTAAAACTTTCTTATAGTGCACTTTGATTCTTATATCATCATGTAATATTTTCGTATTTCAGTAAATAGTATTTGAGTAGATTAACCTTGAAATTTACTTAAAAATGTGTTGCTTTCTCAAAGTGCTTTATGGCAGATTGTTAATTATTTAGATTGGTCGTCCTTATTTCCTTCGCCTCCTTAAATTTTGTTACAAATTAAAGGAAGAAAAAGGGAGGAAAACACAAATTACATTTGTTGAGCCAGATGCTGCATTTAGAACTGTACTTAGCCACCTTTCATCATCAGACGTCAAATCAGGTGACTTGTTAAAGCTTAAAGCCTCATCATTTAGAAGACTTTTATTGGTCAAAGAGACCAACTATTTATTGCACCATACTCTGTTAAGTTTTGAAATATAAACAAAACTGTGCATTTCGGTTACCTCTCGAAATGATCTCAAATCTATCAGAGGAGACAAATATGTCCCAATTTTGAGATTACTATTTAACCACACAATTTCATGGTTTTCTTAATTTACTTCATCGTTTAAACGTAAGTAGCACAAGCATTCTATCTTCTTTTTAGATAATGTCGTCACTTGACGTGAATGTGCATCGTTTGAATTGAGGATTGGTTCTCGCCCTGTACCTCGCTAGGTTTTGTGTGGCAGGTGCATGTATTTCGATCCTACATACAAAAGAAAGAACTTTCTTTCCACCACAGACAAGTGTAGTTGGCATCAGTCGTTTTTCTTAATTGAGGATATCTGCGATGAGATATTGTGATGTTTTTTCAGTCCTCGTATCTTTATTTTTCTGGAAAATCAATTTGAGTTCGCAAATACTCTTAATTAATCTTCATTTCGAACAGACGCTTCCTCATCATTTTGTTTGTTAAACAATCTTTTCTTTTAAAAATTACTCCGAACAGTAGTCCTTTAAATGGAAAAGTGCACCAAACTATTTGCTGACGCAGTTGCTTGTTTTGTTGCGCTTAGAGGCGTCGAAAGTCAGAACCAAGAAGAACAAGGACACTCTCCTTTCATCGAGCACCCAAAAACCTTGCAGTTAACCAAGCAAATTACAAAAGTTTTAACTCGAGAACCGACACATTAAAGGTAAATAGCATGATACCAAGAACTTGTTCTATACTTTTGCATTACAAACGTTTGTTTCCTGTTCAGGTTGTTCTGTTAGCTCTCGCTGGTTCCAGTGTAACTCAATGTCTATCAGTCCCAACAATAGTACCTATATTGACAAGATCCACGATCCACGATCCACGATGCCTTCTCCATTACAATGTATTCCATGGTTAGCTGTATTAGTCACTGAATGTCTGACCATTGTCATCCTCAATGTCATCATCATCATTGCATTTGTGAAGCAGCGCCAGCCACAGCGCCGGAGTAAATACTTGATCATCCACCAGGCCATAGTAGATCTCTTAGTCGGTTTGGTGTACGGGCCTCTGATGATTGAAAGGTGCGGAAGCATCTGCCATCTGTGGGGCCACCATAGACCTAATAACACTTGGTTACTTATTCTAGAATATGTTTTAGGTTTACAGGTCGATCAATTTTCCCTTTTAAACCTCGCTTTCATTTCATTAGAACGAGTACACGCTACATTTCGTCCTTTCAAACATCGATTCATTAAGAAATGGGTTTATGGAGTGATTATAACAGTCATTTGGTTGGTGCCCGCCGTCATGAACTCGTTCGTATTAGGAATAGTGCCCTCTCATTTTTTCTTCCCCTATGATGCAATTATCGTTTTTGCATTTTATTTAACCCTACTTTTTGTCATCGTTGTGTGTTATACCTGTATTTGTCTCAAAGTCCGTTGCAATCGTCTTCCTCGGCACCATGGTGCAGCTGGTGTGAGAGAAAGAAAACTGACGGGTACTTTATTTCTTGTCACTTTTGGATCGTTAATAACGTTCCTGCCAAGGATTGCAGTTGGGGGTTTTTGGGCTCTCATTCTTGGGTCTGTTTCCAGATTTTACGATCAGTTAGCATTTACTTATTTGATGTTAATAGCGACATTTGTAGTGGCCAACTCATTGATAAATCCTATAATCCATGCTATACGAATGCCTGAGGTAAGAACAAGCATATTAGTAATCATTTTCCTTAGGGCTCGGAACCCGATAAATCCAATCAATATCCCACTTCAAAATCTTTAAACATCTATTCAAGGATGCCAAAAAAAAACTGAGAAAGAATGGAAAGCCGGGAGGATTTTTTACCGAGTTGATTTTGCCGTCAGTATCGTCCGATTTTCATTAGTTACACCGTGATATATATACATGCATATACTAAAACCACTGAAAAACGAAATTCTTCTTTTAACTTTTACTTTGCTTTTGCGCTACGCGTTTCACCGCTGTTGCGGCTATTCAGGCATAACAAAGTGTGTTTATTGACTTGTTACGTAAGTAAAAGTTAAAAGTGAATCTTTCATTTTCATTGGTTTTAGTATCTTCATTCGACACAGAAGTTTACAAGTTTCTTTATATTACATGTATATATGTATATATATGTATATATATTTATAGACTCGGTTCAACAGTAAAGGGTATTTTAATGGTAACAATTTACTTTTAAGAAGATTGTAAGCGACTGTTATTTGTTAGTGTTAGCATTGAGCTTGTGGTAACAGTTGGTGCTAAATCACAAAATATTCCTTGTAATTACATTTAAAAGGTGCCTTCGAAAAATTTGCAGGCAAGGTGAAACATTTTGAAATTATTATAGTTATAAAATTTATTGGATGACGATTGATAGTTTCTTAAGGCTAACTTAAGATGGTTTAAAGTGGACATGAAGGAGATCTTTGTCAGATTAAAATAATATTGACCCGCTCGATATGATCTTTTAGATGCGTTGAAACTATAATCAATTTTTTGAATGCGAAGAACATCATTGTAATTTTACATTATTCTAGAGGGACGTATTCATTTGACATGCATGTGGTGTAAAATCGATCACTTATTAAAACCTCAATTTGTGAAATTGCTGTCTGATGCAGTTTTCTTTCTTTTTCACCGCTCCAACGGGAGTTAGGCGCTTTTTAGGCGGGTATAGAAAACTGCGAGGAAAGCGCGAGGTGTGCCGGAAACGTGAAAGACGAGGAGCTCTTTCTCTTGCCTGTGTCTCGCCTGGAGTGATGGCCGATTAAACGACGGATAACTCCTTTAATCCTGATCAAGCACGCATGTCACAAGACCAAATTACTTAGAAGTATGACCAAATGTCTCTTTAAGGGAATCACTACATCATCCCTTGTAGTATCTTTGCATTCATCTCGCGTGTGCCTCCGCCTTAAAAATGGAGAAATAAAGACACCTTCCATGCAAACCGATGTATGAACTCACTGTTGGAAGTAAACTAATATTGAAAAGACACGGATCTTTATATTCTAGACCAACCTACCCGCGGTGCTAGAGCAGCTGCATAAGAAAGGAAAAAACGATTCGTCTTTTGCACAAAAATTAATTCAATGGTGGAAGATTTTAGACCATGTCAAGGCATGACATATGATTAAAAAAATCTATGTATTTACTTTTCTGTAACCATTGCACGATATTTTTTCTCTTCGGCAAGTTCCTCAAGTTCACTTTGCTGTAGTCCATCTCTAATATTTTCATGTCATATTTTTACGACAGTACTCTCGCTTGAATAAATTGAATTTACGATTTTGACTTAAAATTTATGCTTCGACATGAAGAGTAAAGAACAATAAGGAAAAAACATCAGATGACAAGTCGTTTGAGTAAAAAAAGAAAAACCTCCTCAATCAGAAGATTTTTAGTGGTCAAATAGAGTTATAATTTTGCACATTATACTCGGTTAAGTGAGATGTTTATTTCGGTTACCCCTCGAAGAATATGGTTGCAAAAATTTCAGCATCCTCATCGGTTGAAAACACGTCAATATAACTTAAACAGTACAAAAAGTTGAAAACGTTCTAAGATAAAAATACACAACAAAGTCGGGTGAGTGTTAGGCTTTCCATAAAGGCCATGAAAAAGTATTAAAACGTAGGTGTCAGCTTATATCGCAAACATAAATTAGTTAATTATCATAGAGGTTTCAACATTAATTCGGAGACGCTTATTTTACATTTCAGACTCAACACAAAACATGTGAAATGAAAATAATATTTTAATAGTAATGATCAAAATAAAACAGCTGTTCACATTCTGTGATTCACATTTTGAATACTATATTTACATTCTCGGATTAAAATAACTGCGAAAAATGAAGCTTCGGCCTAGACAAAAGATTGCGAGATGGTTATTTGACCGGATTTAGACGGTTTTAGGGTTCTGCAGGGTACCATTTTTCAAATACCTACCCTAAATTCTGGCATGCGCACTGCACAGAGTATAGGATTTATTAGCGAGTTGGTCAAGAATAATGTTAGTGTGGCGCAAGAAATTTACAGATGTAAGGAAAATTTTGGAACGGCAATGATATGAATATAGACCATACCTTCGTCAATAGCTATTGGTAGAAAGGTTAATAATGATGAACAAGTAACAAGACACAATGTCCTCGTCAGTTTTCTTTCCCTCAGACCGGCTGCATCATGATGTCGAAAAAGACGATCACGATGAACTTTGATATAAATTGAAATATAACAAATACAAATGAAAACAATAAGAAAGAGAAAAGAAGAATAAACCATAATAAGATTTAACTTCCAATCGGTTATTTCTTGTATTGTACCCCTACATATTATTTTTCATAAATGGATAAAAGCTATAACCAGTCTATAAACCCATTTCTTGATGAAACGATGCTTCAAAGGGCGATATGTTGCTTGTGCGTATTCCAACGAAAATGAACGCGACATTAACAAGATGTGTTAAGAGGGAAAAAAGGACGTATTGCTAAACTTACTCTGGTATATCCCAACTCTTCTCGAAACACCAAGCCACGAATAAAATAATCTGCATCGGCCCTGATACAGCCTCGACTAACATATCAACTGTGGCCAGATGAATGATCAAGTATGTACTTCGGCGCTGGGGCTGGCGCTGTTCCGTATTGTCTAAAAAGAAAAAAGAATACAAACTTGTTAGGCTTGTTTTAAGTTGCCACATGCACCGTCAAATTAACTCGTTCCTTTAATTTTCCATCATGAATTCGGCGTTAAGCAGTTGTTAAGTTATTTAGACTGTTAGCTTCACGAGGTTAACTATGGTTAGTTTTTATGTTCAATTCTTCCTTGGTGATTGTACTTGTAAACAGCGTCGAATTTTCATCCTCCGTACTGAATTTGTAACCAAACTCTTTTGTCCGAGGAGCACGACCCTCGACGATAATTTATGAAAAAGGGCGGTACCTTAGATACAACCTTCTTTTCCATCTTTTCTATTTATCCTTTTGTTATATAACAACCGTGAAGCAGCGATTTCGAGATCCTTCGATTCAGTTTGCCTACGAAATGCGTGATGGCTAAGTTGAATGAATCAATAGAACAGGTGGACAGGAAGAGGACGGTAATTAATTATATCAATACATCAAACGACTTCTTACCTTACAGCTGCAGAACATATTGTAGCCCAAGAAAATATCTTAAAATAGCTTCAAATCGTTCTTTTGCTTGGGGGGAATAAGTTAATTTAAAGGTCAATCCTGCAGTTACGCTTTAAATTTTGTGATTCTACTTTTTATGAAATTACAAGCCATGGAAACATCAACAGAATCAGATGAAAGGAACTTTTGCAATGCTTACTTTCCAATTACCTCGCGCTTCCTTTTATGTTTTGAA